CTTCACTCAGAGTGACTGATGTTCCCCGTCTCGTCAAGGGAGCTGCGTTTTATACGACAGCTAACGTAATGGGGAAACTGGTGGAAGTTAAACGTGAGCCTCTGCAGCCCGCTGTCTGCTCTCCGTCCTCGGGGAGTTCAAGTCCATCGTGACTGAGACTCGTTTCAGAAGCAGCAGTGATCCGATGGGCTCGTCGCTACATATTTGGGTCATTAGTGGAAACACTTCCTGCCAACGCCAGACTTGCACCGACCGCATATCTCCCACTGCAGCTTTTATAAACACAAGCGCTGATAAAGAAATTCCCCACCGCAGTGAAGAATGAATACAAAGGCCCGGCTGTCATACAGAGACAAGACTGCGTTGGAAGACTAGCAGCAGAACTTCGGCGGACAAAGGCCTCGTTACGAAACAAAGCTACAAAGCAGAGGATGACGGACGGAAAATGGGAACGTCGAAAGGCCAGCGCTGCCAAAACACGTATGAGCTGCTCTATTTAAAGTGTATGAGAAATCACTTGGGGGTTAAACGCAAGACAACATTTTAAAGGCAATCCATGCAAACTTGTGAAAAACGGACAGAATAGATTCATAAAGTAAACAAGCTCTAAATATTTTTTCCCTTGTGGATGCGTCTTTAAATTAGAACTTTGTGAACGATGCCTACTACAACCACGCGTTTGTTTACTTACAGAAACAGCCACAATGACTGAAAATAGGTCAAACGGTGAACTTGCAGAAGTTTCCCATGAATAGTGAGCTCTGTATTTACGGTGCTCCACCGACCTCACTGATCCCCGATATATTCTGGGTTTTCCATTTACTTTCAAGTTTAGCAGCACATTCCCGCTTATATTTCCTCTTAAATAGCTTCTGAGATTCTTCGCTTGTCCGATTCCACCATATCGGCCATGAAGCTTTCAGAGGAGTCAGCTGAAGGCTTTGTTTACGTTGAACGTGAGCCCGCATTTCATAATTTCAACTTATCTGGAAAACTACTGGAGTAAACTCATTTAATCTGCACCATTTTATACAAGATAACCCTTTAAGGTTTAGTTTCATACCATTAAATGTGTACCTTTAACTCTCCACAGGGTTACACCAATCAGCCAAAAGATTATGACCACACACACAAAGCTGCGTATGTTCTTTTGCAGCTGAAGCAGCTCTGGAAGAATCCTAAAAAGGGGCTCCTATTCTCTAAACTTTTCCTAACCATACCTCTCCTGCTGGGAGTGGTTACTGTAGCCATATACAGCTATACTGCCTAAAAATCTTGTACCGTATTTTCCGCCGTATAAGTCGCATCAGTCCAAATATGTCTAATAAAGTGGGGGAAAAAATAAATAGGTCACTTTGCCGTATAAGTCGCATCCGTTATGTGTCACCGCTGATACGTCGCGTTTTTACGCATAACCGATGACAACCCGGAAATGTGGGCCGGTGTTGTGCCAAAAATCGATTGGCTGCCAAATGGTGGTCGCGGGAGCGTGCACGGGAGGACTTTAACAAGAATTTAACAAGATTAACATCCATCCATCCATTATCTTTACCCGTTTATTCCATTTTGGGTCACGGGGGTCGCTGGTGCCCATGTCCAGCAATCACTGTGCGAGGGGCGGGGTACACCCTGGACGGGTCGCAAGTCCATCACAGGGACACATAGAGACAAACGAGACAAACAACCATTCACTCTCTCACTCACAACTAGGGACAATTTAGAGTTACCAATCAGCCTAACATGCATGTTTTTGGTCTGTGGGAGGAAACCGGAGTACCCGGAGAAAACCCACGCATGCACGGAGAGAACATGCAAACTCCACCCAGAAGGCCCCTGGACCGGGGTTTGAACCAGGGACCTGCTCGCTGAGAGGCAGCAGCTCTACCAGTTGCGCCACCGTGCTGCCCAATAAGATTAACACTTAAAACCAATTATTTGTTTGCTCAGAATTATAGTAAAGGTGTGTCTCGGTTTAATTTTTTCTTTAATAAATTAACTTTGACGGTCAAATCAGCTGCATTTTCAAAAGTCGATTCGTGGAAGCGGGAGCGCGACTCGCTGTGCATTTCTTCGAAATTTAACAAGATAACCACCTAAAAACATTCAATTGTTTGCTCGAAATTATAGTAAAAGGTGTGTCTCGGTTGAACTTTTACTTCATAAATGCACTTCAATGATCGAATCAGCTGCATTTTGCTGGAGCGACGCAGCAAAACGAAGATGATTTGACGGTTGCTCCAGGCATGACCCTGGAGCTGGAGATGAAGGTGGCAGGCTATGGCAAGCTGATTGTGTCATTAATAGCCACTTTTACCTATTAAATGACACAACGGCATGCCATAGCACTCGACCGTCCGTTAGAATGAATGAAAACGGTCATATCTCAGTCAAAAACTGGTTTATAAATATGGGGAAAAAACATAAATAAGTCGCTTGGGTGTATAAGTCACAGGACATGCAAATTAAGTTACAAAGTGTGACTTATATTCTGGAAAACACGGTATATGTGAACTTTCTTCTATAAAACACAGTGGATGGAGACATCAGTCTTCATTTAAGTCTTACTTTTGTGTCGCCACAGCGAACTAACTCACACAAAGACTTGGCGATTGTTTTTTTTTACGCCGGATGGCCTTCCTGAAAAAACAACAGAGCTGCAGCAGAAGGGCCTTGCTCAAGAGAAGGGCAAATGAGGGCGGGTACTACACCTTTCCCACCCACGTTTTGATGTTGTCGGTCCGGCGACCTTCCGATCAAAGTCTCGCCTTCTCTAACCTCTGCACCACCACTCCCCCAAAGAAAAACAAGAGAGAGGTTTATTAGTGCCACTATGGAAACCACGCACCTGAACCTGTCACTCCCTGACAGCAGAGACAAGAGGAATGAGGCAAACGGAACACGCAGAGTAGAAACTTAGCCCCAAACAAACATTCACTTTACCAAAACTGTCATGTTGAGATTTTTTTTTTTTAAATCACTGAACTATAATTGGACATTAAGGGTAAACTGGATGTCCTGCAGCAGGAAGAGACACACAGAGTGAAAGAGGATTTTAAAAAAAAAGTCTAATTTTCATGGATAAACTGGAAAAGAAATAAAAGTTTGTTGGAGTAGGACGAGTTGGTTTAAAAATGTTGAACAGCTCAAGCGACACTGCATTGCACTCGTATTTTAAAAGTATAAAACTTAAACAGAGATTGTGCAAAAACTGCCAAATATATCAAAATGCACGTTTAAGCCAACTTCCTGTGACCTGTTTAAACTTTGAACCATGTTTCTCCTGTGAGGTGAGCCGGAGCTGGAACGCTCCAAAGAGGCCTGGGTCACTCCTTTAGGCAAAATCCCACAGTGAGGAAAATTGATTTTTGTGTTGCTGATCATTTTCTTTACTGTTAATAAAAGCTGCTTCGACCGGCTGGGTTTGAGAGGAACAGATACACAATGGCAGGTCGAGAATCACGTTAAAATAGAAATAATATCAAATGAAAACTATTCAATTGTGGCAATTCATTTTAAGAAATTAGGTCAATTTATCCTTTAGTAGTTTAAGCTTAAGGCAGCATAACAAGCCAACCCTAACTATAGGATTTATCAACAAGGAAAGTCTTAAAACTGGACAATGTGTCAGCCTCACGGACAGAAACTGGAAGTTGATTCCACAAGAGAGGAGCCTGAGAACTGAAAGATCTTCCTCCCGTTCTGCTCTTGGAAACTCTAGGAACCACAAGTAAGCCTGCAGTCTTAAGAGCGAAGTGCTCCGTTAGGAAAATATGGAACAACAAGATCTTGAATATAAGATGGAGCTAGGTTGTTGAGGGTTTTGTAGGTTAGAAGTAAGATCTTGAATTCAATTCTGGACTTGACAGGGAGCCAATGGAGAGAAGCTAAAACTGGATACATCATCTCCCAGTAACTCCAGTTAAGACTCTGGCAGCAGCATTTCGGATCGACTGAAGACTTTTTAAAGAAGTATTCGGACACCCAGTTAACAAACCATTGCAATAGTCCAGTCTAGACGTGACGAATGCATAAATAACAGGCGAACGGTAATAAAACTGCTTTGGTCGCCTTAAAAGAGCGAAAGCGGCGACACAACGGTGACCATGTTCCGACTAAAGGTGTCCTTCAGTCCTGCGTTGCTACAGCTTCCTGATTCTTTTGTCTTCGGGTCCATGGTGCGCTCCACCTCATGCAGCTGCTGCAATAAAAAAGCTGAGAAAGGAACAAACTCCTCAACTACTGCGCCGTAACGACCGTTAACGCAACTATGGTTACCTCCAATTTTTATAATGCTGCAAGCGAGCTTGCGTCCACTGCTGCACACTGAGCTTGCAGGAAAACCCAGGATCTCCCAGCTGAATGAGGAAACACCCAGAGATGGAAAAAAAAAAAAGAAAGAAAGAAAGCAGGCTGACATCATCCAAGCGTGGGCTTCCATGTTCATGAGATGCCTCATATATGTGCGTGTGCACACACACACACACACGCGCGCGCACGGACGTGTAGTTTCCCCGCATGTCCAGCTCTGGACAAACCTTGATCATTCGGAGTTGCTGCTGCACCAACACTCTGCAGCTCCAAGCTGTGGGGCTGCAGCGCTCAAGATGACACCCACCAAGGCGCTGCATAACCCGAACTGGTCTAAACTGGGAGGGGGGCGAGGAATGGAAAGTTGAAGGGCGCAGGAGAATTTGGGAGGTTTTATGAAATGGGGAGTGTGAGTGGTTGGGAGTAAACGACGGGGCAGAGCCGGCGACGTTCAGGGAAGAGCTGAATAAAACATTTGAAATAAATAACTGCAACGACCCGCACAGAGGATGATAAAAGCCGACATGTTGGGGGGGACACGACCCTTCCTGAGCCTCCCCTCCACCACAGAACCGACAAGACCGAGCGGAAAATCTTCAGGCTAGTTAGCTTTACTTCCTTAGCCAAAAAAAAAATAAATAAATAAAACACAAAACGAGACGGGCTTCTCGCTCACGCGCGCACGCACTTACCGGTCCGACGCGCTGCTGGTGCCGCCGCGGGGCCACGAGCAGCGCGGGGAGGCTGCCGGCCCCCGCCCCGCCGCTGCGGGACAGCAGCAGCAGCGACCTGCACACTTTGGCAGCCATCTCTGCGGTGGAGGAGCTCAGGGGGAAGGAGACTGCTGGCTGCGGGCGGACCGAGGCGCACTCACCGACCGGGGAGGAGGGAGGGAGGTGGGCGGGTTGGGGGGCTGGACCACGGCGGCACACATGCCCAGTGTTGCACCAAACACCATCAAATGCACCTCCCTGCAACTTTGTTTCTTGTGTAACGGAAGTGTGCGCGTCCGTGGTCGGTGATAGCAGCACTTTAAATCCCCCCCAAAGTGCACAAAATAGAGCAAGAAGCTCTTTATTAGGGCTGGGCGATATAAACCTAAATTAATATCTCGATTTTTTTTTTAAGATGAATCGCGATATATATAAAGTAATAACAAAAATATATTTCAGAGTTAAAGCTTTGTCCAAGTTGTCACACAGGCACATTTATTAACAACTATTTGTTTCTTTTTTTCTTTCGGCTGCTCCCGTCTTCAGGGGTCGCACGAAGACTCGGCAGTTATTTTTACGCCGGATGCCCTTCCTGACGCAACCACAGACCACCGAGCTACCACAGCTCTCTGTGTGGCGCAGAGAGCTGCAAGGTAGGGTGTCCGGGGGAGCAGGTGGGGGGGGGGGGTTAAGGGCCTTGCTCAAGGGCCCAGAGTGGGATGAATGAGGCTGGGGGCAGGTGTGGATGCTTCACCTACCCCACCCACGATACCGGGGCTTTCGATCACAGGCCCACCTTCTCTAACCTCTGCGCCGCCACTCCCCATTTATTAACGACTGTAACTGTACAAAATAAATGTCTAAACTATTTACATATATTTAAAGTTTGTTTTTTAGGCATTTATTTACATATATGAATACAAGTTTCAAGACATTTGATAATGTCCATAGAAAAATCAAAGAAAATATTTTCTTGTTTTTAGGATTTCACCTGGTTTTATTTTATAAATCTTACACATCTTATACATCTCCTCCTACATGTCTCTGTGTGAGTGCAGCTACAGCGTGCACTCTCAGGACATTATTACCTGCAGTGTTCCCTCAGTGCGGACTGAACATGGCAAGAGGGCCTTCTCCTACTCCGCTCCTGTTTCCTGGAATATCTTACAAAAAGACCTGAAGCTCTCGACCTTGACCTCTCTAAGTGGCTTTAAGAATCTGTTGGACTCCTGGCAGGGACCAATGCAGACATGTTCCTGTTTTTAGTTTTCTACATTCGCCTTATAATCTAGCTGTTTTTGCTACTTTTTTTGCCATCTTATTTTAATTTGTAAAAAAATAAAAAAATAAAAATCTGCATACCTCTTTTTTTAATTGTCTATTGTTGTCACTGTTGTCCAGTGGTGTCATCATTCTTTGTTGAAATCAGGTCTCTCTTGTAAATGAGTTCTTGAGGCTCAATGGGATTAACCTGTCTAAATAAAGGTTGAATGAATTAATAAAGCTGAAGTCAGATTGAACCCAGCTCAGCGGTTCCCAGTATAAGGGTCGAGGGCCCATTGTGAGTCATGACAGACCAAGCAGGGGGCCTCGGATAATCTCTAAAATTAGTCACAATAGATGTCAGAATGCCGCCTCATAAGGTTGCCAGAGTCAATCCCGGCTGAGGACCTTCCGAAACGCCTTCCGGTGGCTGACTCTTGTACTACAACAAGAGCTGCACATAATGTAGAGCTGTCATTTCTAACCTGAGCTCGGCACCGCCCGACCCAGATTTGGACCAGGCCAGTCCATAATAATGTGCTTAATGTGCAGGCCGGGTCGGTGTCGGGCTTTTGATTGCGTCAGCGGACGCATGCGGCTGATGATCCAATTATATGGCAACATGGCTTGCCATAATTTCACCTGCTACATGTAACCATTTGACCGCGCGCTGACCGGCCATGAAAAAGGTAGTATGAAGTTCAGTTAAGCTTCAGATGGACTACTGCCAGCGATCCATCGCCCAAATGGACGTTCATTTAGCTGCTGCACTCAGTGGACGCGCGCGGCCGATGACCCAAACAGGTGGCATCACAAAATATCTGACATATCAGAGCATGGTCCAATGCAGGCAGCAGGGGAGGCATTTAATGTGCTTTGACTGCCATGAAATGACAAACACCCCCTCAGAAATATTTTTTATTTTCTAATGTTTTTTTTTAAACAAAAACCCTAATGAGTACGATTTACATTAATCCCCAAGCAATCGTTAAATGATGCTGAACATGTTAAAAGCATTAAGAATGTTCACTGAAAAATGGCATTGAATGGTGATTGAAAGGTAAAATGATAAATATTAGATGAGACTGTGTTATCATTTTTAGTTTATCCATCAAAACATTCATTTTGTCATCGTTCACACAGTGTGTCTCTTACTGATGTAGGACTTGTAGTTTTGGGGGAAAAAATCCCCTCAGAATGTCAAATGTGCATATCTAAACATCATTCTGATCTCATGCTGCTGATCTCATGCTGCTGATCTCATGCTGCTGATCTCATGCTGCTGATCTCATGCTGCTGATCTCATACTGCTGATCTCATGCTGCTGTATTCATTCATACCCATCTGCTCACCACAGACTCATGTTCAGGCTGCTGTTGATACGCCATATTGTTTTGCATTATTAGTGTTTAGAGATCTTTTAACGTACCGTTTTGTGTTCGTTTAGAATATATCTTAGATCCTTATTTACTCTTTCTTTTTACACTTTATATTTTTGCTATTGTTGGGCTTAACTGGGACCCTGAATACATAATTTCGTTCCACCTCATGTACCACATGTGATGTGAATGACAATAAAATTGACTTGAACTTGATATAAAGTCTCATTGACTTCCATTGTAACCAAGCTCAGAACTTTCTCCTCAACATAGAAACGATTTGTTTGAATTGCCACATAGCTTTAAAGAATATTGTTGTCCAATAAAAGTTTGCATGCGTGACCAACAAACACGTTTGCTGTTCACATTTATTTTATTTTTTTTTTGTCAACGCGATACATAATTCTCATGGTTTGTTTGAGACTTACTTTCTACTCCGCATGCATGTCTGTCCTTCTCTTTAAAAGTTTTATCAGGGAGTAACAGACACAGGCATGCGGTTGCCATGGCGATACTAACGAGCAGCTAGCAGCAGCTTTTCTTTGGATAATGGTTTTCTTGTCTTTTTCTCTCTTACAGCTTATTTTCAGCCGAAGGCGTTGTTTGTTTACGTTGAGCGCAAACCCGCATTTCAGAAGAGAAAATCAAACTATCCGGAAAACTACCGAAGTTGACTTGTTCAAACTGCATACACACAGTAGATATAGTTTAAGATAACTTTTTACAATGTTTGAGTCCCTCTTTGCAATAACATTTAAGACCCGTTTAAGCATATACGATGTAAATAGTTCATCCCATGTTTCACCTAATCACCAACTTGCTCAACACGTTCTTGAGCAAAGTTTGAACTCAACAGGAAGCTGCATCGTGAAAGAGACACATCCACTGCAACCAGTATGAATGTTTTGCCGTCACTGCCCACAGCAACTATTTATCTGTGCAAAAATAGCTCGTCCTTCAGTCACGCTTCGTGAGCAGCTCGTATCCCAAGAGAACCCGGCAGGACCAGCTGATCTTGTGCTGTCTTTAAACACTGGCTCTAACAAACTATTAGGAGTTCACTTGTGCACAATCATCCAACCACTGCAAATCAGAGCGGTTAAAGGCTTTCTTTGTCAATGATTGTCAAGGAGACTCTCATTAGCAGACTGTGTTGACTTTAATCTTTGACTAGTCCCATCGTAAATCCTGTTTTGGTCAAGGGGCAAACAAGATATTGCAATTATTTCACAAGAGTAAACTGATTTTTGTAACTCTGATGTAGATATTTATGCAATAAGTTAGCGACTCATGATTTGAGCTTAACAAAACAAGGATTTAGACTAAAATCTAGCTTTTGATCATTTTCATATCAACAATGCTTGTCTTTTATTAGTGTAATAAAGGAGTAATATGTAATTTCTGCAGAGATTATACGATTCCCTCCTGACTTTTTCAGGTGCGATGCATCAGGCTGCGTGAACAACGCTATTTAAATGCAAATTTTCAGCCATGGACAATGACCTGCTCAAGGCCTTGAAGCTGCATCGATTCATACGGAGAATCTTTCCAAAGACAGAGGGCTCGATGAAACCTTCACGGTGCTGCCAGAACTGCACGCGTGCGTCCTCAGTGTATACACAACAAAACAAGAAAACGAAAATGGTGCAGTACAGTGGAAAAATAAATAAATAAATCCCTGCCGGAATTAGATTTCACTATATCTTTTAAGTCTTTTTTTTTTTTACTTTATTGATGTATTGAACAAACAAAACAAAGGAGCACAAGAATAAAATAACAAACGACAATCTCAATTACAATGATACGTATAAACATGTAAAAATATCTTATGTCATAAGGTCAACATGCTTAAACAAATTAACATATTAACCATCATAAATTTAAATTTAGGTCATATTATTATCAGAGAATTTGCAAATGATCTGGTACAAATAAAAACAAAAACACAGAATTATTCATCTAGAATTGAGAATCTAGTTCTAGAGTTGCGCCGCTCAAGGTGGCTGCATGTTGGAGCGGCTCTGTTACTTTCATTTTGAGATTTTGATTTTGGAAACTTTAATTTCTCTTTTTCTGGATGTAAATCACTTTTTTTTTTGGATGTTTGTTTCCTCTGGTATCAGATGCTGTGCAGCTGGAAGGATTTTTACAGAAACTTTTTTAGTTTTGGACATTTGTTATGATGCGTAACTATGGCAACAAGGCAGTTTCTACAACCAACAGCAGCCGATTAACATCTCAAAAGCTCACATAATATCTCAACTACAGCTCCAAATCTCAAATGAGTTGAAAAGGATGTTTTGTGGACGCATTCTCATCTACTTGCCAGCTGTGCTCGAGTGCCTGACCACTGAGATCCTGGAACTAGCAGGAAACACGGCTCATGACAGCAGAAGGACAGGATCGTCCATCAGCACCTACAGTTGGCTGTCCGCAGCGATGAGGAGCTCAACAAGCTGCTGGGAGGAGTGGCCATTGCTCTGGGAGGATTTCTGCCCAA